TACTTGATGGCTGTCTGTATAAGGAAGATTCGTGGGCACCTGGGTTGTTTGGATATGAGATGTTGAGAAAGGTAGAGAATACGGATCTGAATGTAACTTCTCACTTCAAAAAGAATAGTCAAGTAAGGCATGCTGTGGTCCTTTCGAGCAAGATGCAGAAACTTGTTAGCAGTGGAGGATAGACCAAGTGAGTGGGCTTTCCCAACCAATGGTACATCCCAGGAGGATGTCGGTGTATCGACATTTCCTCCACTTCTCCATCTGCAGCCCCAGGGAAACCTCCAGTATGAAGTTAAATTATGAGGTGGGATGGATAGGGGAGGGCTGGAGAGATGGCTCATCAGTTAAGAGCACTACTTGCTCTTCCAGAGGTCCTGCGTTCAATTCCCAGCAACCAATGGTGGCTCACAACCATCTATGCTGAGATCTGATGGCCTCTTCCGGCATGCAGGTGTACATGCAGATAAAAAAATTCATATACATAAAATGAATAAATCTTTTTTTTTTTAAGAGAGGTTAAATTATGGCTTTTAGAACAGAGGGAAGAGACAAGGCATTGATCTAAGAGCTGCCTGGTTCCGATGCCTTCGGAGAGGCTATTTGCTCTTGGCAGAGTCTCTTTAGAAAGGCGCTGGCTGCAAGTTGGGTGCCCCCTTGCTTTGCCTCTCCTTGCGTCATCTGCTGAGGCAATTCCAGCTAGCCTTTCAAAATGAGTGATTTCCTCACGGGCAGAGATCCCAGACTGCCACATTCTATGATTTTCAAGTCATCAACAGACGCTGCGCCTGTTAAATGGCACTGAGGCATAAGTCTGGGTGTCCCTTTCCTTGGCATTCACTCTATCCCCTCTTCACACCAGCTCAGCAGTGACAGCATGGCGGCCAGCCCCTGACCTCGTGTGTCTTGGTTTCCTCTGCTGAGATTGCGCGTTACTCACTCACGGGGACTCTCTGAGGGGTAGGAGATTAATTCCATTGCTGGTCAAGGGCAGAGGGTTATGCAAGACCCTGGAAGAAATGATTATTAGAGCCCTGGGACACTTTGTTTTAGGTGCTTGACCAGCTTCCGGGTTCCTGGGCTTCATCTTAATCTACAAAACTGGATCATCGAGATGGCTCAGCGATAAAGGTGCCTCCCTCAAAGCCTGAGTTCAATCTTTAGGGCTATTCTCAATCCTCCACATGCGTGCTGTGGCATTCATGCTGTGACATGCACTCCCACACACATGTTCTCAACACACACACAGACAAACAAACAAGTGTAACAAAACCTTAACAAATCAACAGGGGTAAAAAAAAAAAAATCTGTTCGTTTTCGTTTTGTTATTTCAAACAAACCTCTTTGAGAACCAAAGTTCTGGGAAAAAGAAAATCCAAGCACTTGTGGTTATGGAGGGATTCCATAGCAGTGAAGTAGGAGGGAGGTGGTACATGCCAGCATGTGCTTTCCAACCCCGAGGCCTCCCAGGACCCAGGGCAGCTGCTGAGCTCACATGAGCCCTGAGTATGTGCCACCGATGCTTGCCTGCCACTTCCTACTGGCTTGAGGACAAGAGCAGCTCACCCCTCACGTCCACACTCCTCTGACTCACAGCCTTTCTGGGGACTGTCTTGAACTTCTACTATACACAATGCCATGGAGCCCTGAGGGGACCACCCAGAAGTCAGAGCCGGAGACTCCCCAGCCTTAGAGTTGCCCCGATATTAGGCAAGAAAGGGAAGTGAGAACAGAGACTGTTCAGGGGCTGTGGTCACTAGACTTAGTACCTGGCTTAGAGACAGCTCCATTTTTACTTTGACCTGCTTATTAATAAGACTATAGACTTGAAGAACTACCCAACCTCACCATGTTTTCTCACGTTTTTACCTATAAACAGGGGCAAACCATTAGCCATCTTGTAGCTTTTGTGGTAGTTGAAGAAGGGAACAGATGTAAAGTTCTGTGTTCACAGGGCCTCAAAAGTACAATCGACTCACACTTGGCTAGCACTGGTTTTTGACTGGGGTTGCCATTAAAGAAGAAATAGGATACAGAGAGAGGTTCAGGGAAGTCTGGCAAGGTCCACGGAGAACAGACTGTATTTTGTTGAGTGAATAACTGAATGAGTGAGTGAAATGGATGGTGCCTGTCTTAGTTACTTCTTCATTGCTCTGACAAAACACCATACCAAGGAAACTTATAAAAGAAGGTGCTTCATTGGGCTTAAGTTTCAGAGAGCTAGAGTCTATGACCACAGAAGAAAGGTATGGCAGCAGGAATAGCTGAGAGCTCACATCTTGATACACAAGTAGGAGACAGGAGGGAGGTACAATAGGAATGGCAGGAGTCTTTTGAAACTTCAGTTTCCAGTGACACACCTCCTTTAAGGAGACCACACCTCCTAATCCTTCCCAGATGGTTCCATCAACTGAGAACCAAGTAGTTAAGCATGATCCTCTTAGGGCCCTTCTCATTCAAACCACCACGTACCTCCCAGAAGCAGCACTTGTTTCTACAGGTAAAGATGGATGTTCTACCTCAGAAAAAAAATGAGTGCAAAGCCCATTCTGACTGCTTGCTTAAGTGTTGTAAAAAATGGGCCCGTTTCTGTCCTCTCCATCCCTCAAACACATCCCACACATACAAACACACACACAGGCCATTATATGCCACCATGCACATACATGAACAAAGACCCCCATCACATGCACGCAGCCTTGTCACCACAGACACACACATCATGTACGAACACTCATCGACATAGTACTCACCCCCCAGTTACACAGAGACAGATTTAAATTCATGGATGCATAGACGCACAGGGGGACATACATACCACATACCCGTGCCTTTAATCACGTATGCATGCATTACAGACACACATGTATGGACTGAGCTGGGAGAGGAATGAAGACAGTGATGCCTAAGGCTCATTATCCCTGCCCCGAAGGCCTTTAGGTCTGCCAATGGGCTGTATCCTGTCCTACCTCAAGGCAGGAAAGGAGATAAGCATTTCAACAGGTGTGGCTGTTTGTGGCCTCAGGGTCTGTGCAGGTACTTTCTCAGGGTGGCTGTCAAGTTTCTTAGCCAGCTATTCTTTATAGTACCATGCTAGGGGTCATATCTGCCCTCCATAGCTTATACAACTACTGACAGCCAAGAAAAGATCCCTGAATGGAACCATGTCAGCCTGCTGTGGATGAGTGGGACAGCCGCAACTTTCCTCCTGGGCATGATGTATTCACACTGGATGCCAGGGGCCTCCTGCTGTGGGAAGAGGCAGGCGGGGGCTGGCCTGTGGGCTTGGATTAGACCCCAGGCTCGTCAGTGCCCATGTGTCTAGGTGGCACGAGTCTCCTGGCCTGGTGAGGGCTGTAAAGGATCCAGTGTGAAAAGCATGATCCTGCCCCGGCAGCTTTCCTTCCGTTTTGCGTGGAGGGAACTGGGGCCAAATGCCGTTACTCTGGGCCGAATACTTTCCACTGCCTGGCAGGGCCTGTGGAGTGGGTCCTGGCTTTAGGCTCTGAAGCCTGTGGCAGGAGACATTAATCCCCAGGCACCCAAATAATGGCTCTCTTCAATCTCTGATTCATTTGCATCCTGGCTGGACAGGGCACTTGGGTAACTGGAGTCTTCCTTCCAGCTCGGCCCTCCCTCACCAGCCCCACCTCTCCCTCCTTGGGCTTGCTCAGGGTGTGTCTTACAATACACCTCAGGGTGGTCTGAGGAAGAAATGAGAACTGCTAGCTTTTGCATCTGTAAATCGTGGTCAGTGGCAATGAACCTCGTTATTCTGCTCAAGGGTCAGGAAGTTCTTGGCATAGAGTTCCCCACCGCTGAAAGCTGTCTGTATTATATGCTGAAGTTCCCAGTATCCGAGAGTGAATCTGGAGCTCAGGACATCAAGTAGGGAGGGTGGCATAGCTGGAATCCTCCAGGAAAGATTGCAGACGTCTCTAAGACATCTGTGTGTAAGAGACAAAAAAGGAACAAATATAAATAAGTGTTTTCGGCAGGGCTCTCTAGCCAGTACTGTGGCAGATGGACGGAGGCAGTGATTCTGCTAGAGACTGTTAGAAGATAAGGCAATGGCTCCAGAGGGACGGGGGTGGGTGGGGGACTGGAAGTGAGAGGTTCTGGATTTGAACACTGATGGAGAAAGCATGAAAAGTGTCAGTGTAACTCTGGGAACCCCTGTGGGTCACACTCACTGTGGGTCACATTGTGGTCTCTAAAGGTCTCACTTCTCATGCAAGCTCGTTCCAACTGAGTGTCAGGGAACAGGGGAGAATGTCGAGGAGCGGGCACTTCTTCCCGTCCTCCCCTCTAGCCTGCTACTCTCTTCAGAAGAGTCCTGCCAACACAAGCCCAAACCGCTGCTCCCGCTGACCTAGAAAGGTTAGAAGGTGGCTTCCTAAGGGCTCCCCAGGTTTGAGGCTCCTCTGGCTTTGCCTCTTCCTGCAAGCCACGCGCCCTGTATAGGGCCTCAGGGACTTCAGCAGGAGGAGTGATGTGAGGTAATGTGCCAGCCAGGTGACACCAGTAGCCTAAAAGGGCCTGAGGCTCATCTCCATATACACATACATATTTGTTGGTATGTTTGCAAGTATTTTGGAGTAAAATGCAAAAAAACTGGATTGTTTTGCCATGATGAAAAATCAAAAAAATATTTTCTCTCTTATGCTTTTATATTTATTTAATAAAGCCCATGTAGGAAGAATCTACTGCCTGTGGCTCTCCACATTTTCTTGTAGTAAAAAGGGAGCTTCGGGGGCTTCTTCAAGACTTCTCTGAGCACGGCAAGTCATCCTTAGTGCCTGCTGCCAATCCACCTCCTAACGTACAGCAATTGGTAATAGTGCCATGTGCCCATTGGGAATACTCGGGCCCCTCTGCAGAGCCTGGAGAGCAGCCGGCCAGCAGAACTCAGCCTGTGGTCCCCGAGGCAGGGGTTGCTGTTTGGCACCTGTCCAGAGCCAGGCTCCTATCATAACCCTTGTCCTTCCATATCTTCTTCACAGAGCCTAAACATACAGGTGGAAGACATCCGGATTCGGCCCATCCTTTCTGCCTTCCGCCATCGCAAGCCTGTGACAGAGGGCTATGTGGAGGTGAAGGAGGGCAGGGCCTGGAAGCAGATCTGTAACAAGCACTGGACGGCCAAGAATTCCCACGTGGTCTGTGGCATGTTTGGCTTTCCTGCCGAGAAGAACTACAACCCCAAGGCCTACAAGTAAGAGGGCAAGGTTTTCTGGACTCCTGTTCTTGTGGCGTCAGTACCAGTCCTAGTGATGGTGGTTTCATGCCTCGCTTTTGAGTAATCCACACTAGTGTGGGAAGCAAGCTAGATGATGGACCTGGCATTGTACATAGAAAGGCTTACCGACTGAGGCACAAAGGGCTTAAGCCCAGGGAAATCCCACCCATCACTTCCAGGAGCCACTGAAGAATGTACAGACTGTGTAAGAGCAATATACAGACTGGGCGAGGATGACACCAACTTCTTAAGACTTGCTTGACAGGCCAGTTATAAGGCTCAGGGTGTCTGTTGCCCTGGAAACGATTCCTAGAGTCTCCCTTTTAGACTAGTTCTTGCCAGACCCACCTCTCCCTCCCCTATCTCTATCAGATTCCATCAGGGCATTTTCTTGCTTAGTGATTGATGTGGGAGAGCCACACCCACGGTGGTCCCGGCTTTTATCAGAAAGCAGGCTGAGCAAGCCCTGGAAAGCAAACCTGTGAGCATTCCTCTGTGCCTCTTCTTTGGCCTCCACCTTCACTGCTCTGTGTGTGACATGAGAGAGTCAACAGAGGTTGCTGGAACAAGAGCCTCTTCCACCTTCTTCCTCACAAAGGGTGGGAGGGTGCAGAGACATTTCCACGTGCATCTTAAAAGAGAAAGCATGCTTTTTGAGCCTTGACAGCATTGCTGGGGTTGAACCAACTGGGGCTAAAAGGAGATGATGGCAAGGAATCCTGAACTGCCCTCAAGGCCATTGTTGGGTCACTCACTAATAGAGCCTACAGGACAGCCCACATAGGCTCCATGGACAGTTTTCCCACCCAGCTCCTCATCCAGTCTCCACCAGGGAGCTGTGACCTCCTGGGATGGGTACCAGCTCAGTGGGGCTGAAACAGGGGTGGCCCCAGGCAGGGTTATCTGTGGACCCTCATCAGAGGTGACTCCAGGTGAACCTGATCCCTGAAATGATAGCTCCTAGTAGGACCCCTTCACCCATCTCCCTTCAATCTTCTTAAATAGTTCCTGTGCAGGCCTGAGGCTCTAAGGAAAAAAAAGAAAATGTTGTCAGAGAAGTCCTCAGTCTGTCTGCAGCAGTCTCCCTGTAGAAGCTGAAGCCCTGAGTGGACCTGCTGCCTTACGAGCTCTCATGGCTAAGGTCATCACCCAAGGCCTTCCTTCTCACAACCTCTCCATTTTTCTTCAAGAGTCAGCTCTCCTTGCTGGACTGAGGAGTACCCATAAGCTTCACAGTTACCGTGGGACTCAGAGCCTTGCTCCACAGTTACTAGAACCAACCTAAAAGCCTCTCTGCATCCCTAGTGTGCTTTCACCCTCTCTCTCTCCAGTACTGGCTTCGGCCATGGCCAGGGGAGCCACGCGTGTACCCTAAATCTAATGAACTTTTAGCTTCAGTGCCCTAGAACCAGAGCCAATATAATAACACTTTGTAGTCAGCATCATTGACTTCTTGTGTGTGTGTGTGTGTGTGTGTGTGTGATTGCAGTTACTTCATGAGCTGGAAGTGCTGATGTAAAGAAAAGCATGCAAATACTGAGGTGGTTTGAACTGTTTATTAAAGTGGATTTATCATTTTAGACCTACTCTCCCCTGTTGGAGACACACCTTTCCCCAAGATTGCTGGGGGACCCTGAATGCATCCTCTAAGTCAAGACCCCACAGTGTGAATAGCAGTCCCTGCATTGGGAAACCCAAAATGCACACAAATATTTCAGAGGTGGTAAGCCCAATGATACTAAAAGCAAGGAGGTGTAGTTCTGTAAAGAGCAGCATGACATTCAGAATATTCTGGCTCCTGAAGACCTTGCTGTTGGCTCAGTTGCTCCTGGAAGGGAAAGTAGAGCTTGACTAAATTTTCCTTTGGTTGTCCCAACAGATAAGCCCTAGGTCAAGTGAGAAGTCTAACCTGAATAGCAATGGGCAGCACATTCTCTTAATCAATTCTAAGACTCAGGTCAGTTTATAGACCCAGCGCCCCAGAGCAAAATGGAGGCGCATCCCTCTGAGGACCTGGGTACCTTGCCAAAACCTTGTACTGCTTTTCTCCCAGCCCTCTCCAAAGGGACCCTTTCCCAGGATGCCAGAGTGTCAGGATGGAAGGAGCAATCAGATCTGCTGAATGCTGGGCGCTAGCTCTGAGCTGACCCAAGCGTGTAGTGTATTTGTGGCTCACTAGTCCAAGGAGGGTAATGGTGGGGTCTTAGCTAACGTTCATCTCACATAGACTCCAATCCTTCCCTTGAGTGATTCCCCCAGGCTCAGGAAGTGTAGATGGAACCGACACATTGAGCCCCTGGCAGGCTCTCACAAAATCTAGCTTTCCCTTGGCTGGGGAGAGCCACTGGGACTCTCTTTGCTTCTAGAGTGACTCCAGCTCATTAACTGCTCCGGCCCTGCTGGCTTCCAGCTTGGCTTCCAACCCCAGCCATCCCTCTCATGTCCAGGCCTGGGGGCGGTCTATGCTTTCCTCCTCTCTACCTCTCTACTGCTTCGCGTGGGCCAGCTCAGCCAGTGTGTGAGTGACTAAATGAGAGTGGGGGCGGGATGGTGCTCCCGCTGCTGGAGGCTCCTGGAGGCTCGTGGTGGGCGGCACATTCCTGAGAGCTGATGTAAGACAGAAGCAGGGGGAAGACTGGTGCTGGGGGGGAGTAAGGGCGGTGCCTCCCAACAGCTGGAAACAGATGGACTTTCCCAAGCCAGCGGTGGGTCTGGTGCTCTCTGACCCGGAACAGCTCATGCTCCCCTGAGTGGATTCCCCTGCCTACGTGTGGAAGCGGGTGAGGTTTGTCAGTGCAAGGGGCCTTGCAGGAAGTGGGGTGGGGGAGCGTCTTTGGAGCTATTAACATCCCCCTCGTGGACTCCTCCACTGTATGATGTCACTGTGGGGAGCACACAACCTCAACTGGCTGATGTAGTCGGTATTTTAGATATTCAAGTGTTTGTACCCACAGCCACACTAGAATTGTATTCCAAGACACAAATGTTGGTGAAGGGGAGACAATAATGATATCTCAGGAATTTTCCCTTACTCTCCTATCATTCACCCCAAGACAAAGCAGGTGTCTTTGAGGCTGGACCAGCAAGGCCAAGACTTCATACCTGTCCCTTCCAACGCCTACTCGCCACAAAGCCTCCTCTGTCAGGGTAGCAATGGCCGGCTCCCTCAAGCATCTCTCTGAGTCCTGCTAAGCAGATGCAAGCACACAGGCTCTAAAAAGCTGGACCGTTTCAGAAGACAAGCGTCCTCATAAGTATCCTCTTTAAGCCCCACAATCATTCATAGCCAGGTCTTCCATCAAACAGCCCTATCACTCGGGCAACGATCCTTCCTTCTTTTTTTTGAAACTTATTTATTTTTATCTTATGTGCATTGGTGTTTTGCCTAAATGTATGTCTCTGTGAGGGTGTCAGATTCCCCCTGGAACTGGAGTAACAGATGGTTCTAAGCTGCCATGTGGGTGCTGGGAATTGAACTCTGGAAGAGCATCCAGTGCTTTTAACTGCTAAGCTGATGAATCCTTCCTCTATTCTTTTTTTTCTCCTCCTTTGGCCATTTTTTTATTTTCTTTTTTGTAAAACTATTTTGTTTCTCTCTTTTTCCTCGTGTGTGTGTGTGTGTGTGTGTGTGTGTGTGTGTGTGTGTGTCCATGCCTACAGAGGCCAGGGGCTTCCCTAGAGCCGGAATTCCAGGTGTGGTGTTAGGAAGCACATTTGGGTCCTCTACAAGAGCAGTACATGTTCTTAGCCACTGAGCCATCTCTCTGTCGCCTGGTTACTTGTCACTGTGACAAAATGCCTAACTGACGCAACTCAAGGGAGGAAGAATTCATCCTGGCTTACAGTTTGGGAGGATACGGTCCGTCGTGGTGGCATAGTGGAGCTCACTGTGGCGGTGAGTGCAGCTGGGAGGCCTCACATCCCTGTGGATCAGGAGCAGTGAGGGTGGAAGAGAAGGAGAGTCCACATTAAAACTCTGACTGCCCATCCTGTGGAGACCCACCTCCTCCAGCTAGGCCCTGCCACTCAAAACAGTGCCGCCAGCAGGGGAGCAAATGTTTGATATGAGCCCGTGGAGGACATTTCACATTCAATCCACATCACCACTACCGTTTTCTCATTCCTTTCAGAAAATGCTCCCCGTGATCTGCGCACTGTTTTAAGCGCTTCACAAGCGTTTGTTCGTTTACCGGCCACAATGTTTATTTATGATGACTTCTGGCTGTAAGCCCTTCTTCCCCTCCATCTGAACACTCATTTGCATTGGGAGATTAACTGATTCAGTTGCAGTTTTGACCAACACTAAGGAGAGAGAAATTCTCACCTGAGTTTTTAACTTTCCTTCAACAGTGTTAAGATTCACAGAAAAGATAGAGCCAAAGCCAGGAAATATACATATGTAGATTAGCTGTGGGCCCCAGTTAGCAGAACTGGGGGATGTCTTTATTCTGGGACCCTTGCCAGCGGCCACTGCCTGTCCCAGTATGGCTCTTCCTCCAGCAGTCCTGGGCCCTAACCTTCACCCACCATCACGGTAATGCTATGGTTTGACCGTCTCCCTCTACTACAAATTGCAATGTAATTAACAGTATTAAGAAATGGTACCTTCAAGGGGTGGTTAGGTTGTAAAAAGGATGGTCCCTGAAAGGACTGATGCTATTTTCATGGGACCGGCTTAGTTATTTTATCAGTGGGCTGTTTCTTTACGAAAGGGGGCTTTTACAAACCATGATCCTTTAATTGTTATGCTTTTAAGATAAAAACAAAGCCCGAAGTGGTGGTGCATGCCTATAATCCAGCACAGCAGGGAGGCGGGGAGACTGAGTTCCTGGAACTGGATCTGCTAGGAAGGAAGGAAGCAGGTGACTGCTGGAATGCCCTGGTTACCCATCCATTCCTTTCCCTTGCAGAACCTTTGCCTCAAGGAGGAAGCTGCGCTATTGGCAGTTTTCCATGAACTGCACGGGCACCGAAGCTCACATCTCCAGCTGCAAGCTGGGCCCTTCAGTGTCCCGGGACCCTGTGAAGAATGCCACCTGTGAGAATGGACAGCCAGCTGTGGTCAGTTGTGTACCTAGCCAGATCTTCAGCCCTGATGGACCCTCAAGGTTCCGAAAAGCCTACAAGCCAGAGGTAAGGACTGGGAAAAGGCATGGACACTTGGCCACTGGTAGGAATCATGATTAGAAAGGGAACAGGAAAGAGAGAAAGCTGGCCCCAGCTGAGACCATCATTGTTGCTGCCTTAGTCAAAATCAGAGCCTCCTCTGCGGCTCTTCACAGAAGGAGGGCATCCGTTGGTGATCGGCACAGACTCCTTGCACTCCGTCCGTTGACCCAGCATGAGCAAGTGATATGGGATAGCCAGACAGGGACCTTGTGCCTATAAAGTTCCTGAAAGAGAAAGCATCTAGGACTATGGAGCTCTAGGAGGTAGAATGCAACTCTACAAGGCACAAGACATCAGCTATGTTGTTATTAACCCATTTGGGCTTATTTCACAAAAGAAAAGCTAACTGCGCCAGCTACAAAGCCTGCCATTATCATTCCCAAATCATCTGTCCCATGGCCACATTATCATTACAGGAAATGCTCCTTGGTTTGTATAGAGGGTGTGTGAGAGTAATTAGGCAGGGGCAAGAGGGCAAGGTGGATATCTTCCTGTATAAATTAGGTCCTCTATTTCAACTCACTGAGTCTCCAGAACAAGTGAGTAACCCAAGCAGGGCGGATTGATCTTCTGAAAAAGAAAGGGCCTCTATTCTGTCTTCCCTCCATAATCATGCAGAGGCTCATATATAAGTGTGTGTGTGTATGTGTGTGTGTAATGTGTTGGGGATATGTATGTATTGGAGATGCATATATGTTGTTGGGTACTGGTTGTGTGTGTGTGTGTGTGTGTGTGTGTGTGTGTGTGTGAGTATGTGTTCTGGAAATTGCTAATATAGGGTTACTAGGTGGGAACAGCACATGAAAAGAGGAGAAGGATTGATCATAGATCAGGTGTTGAGTCACAGGCCTGATAAAACCTCCACCACGGGCTGAGTCCTCAGGCCATTTGAGACCTGTGTACCCAGTAGAAACCTTATTGGCAGGGTGAGGTCCCTGCCAGGAAAAAGGGGTGGGGAAGGGAAGGTGGTGGAACAGTAGAGGTGCCACCTGGACCAATAATAATTGTGTCTTCTCTCCTCTCTCTTCCTCCTGCCCTACCCTTTTCCTCAGTTACTTCTGAGGTGCCCCACAGAGATAGGAAATCAGAGGGAAGGAGATCTCCAATAAACCAGGCTGGGCCGGGAGGTGTTTGAATAAAAGTCCTAGGAGCAAGTGAGAGGAGTGAGATGCATTCTGGGAGCCCAGCCTTCTGCTCAGGCTGTGGGAATTATTTAAAGGAAACTCCTAATTTACCGGTATTTCTGAGAAATAGTGAGCTCTTCGCCTTCTCAGTCCCCTCAG